TTTCTGCTCTCAGACTACATTAGTCTCCAAGTTTCTTGGTACTACAGATCAGCAGGGGATAGTTGGCGGTACGGAGAGGGTTGGGACTGCAGTTTGTTACCCAAGAGGATGTGGGTAACTTGACATAGGTGTGGCTCTTCCAGATGTGGCAGGACAAGGACAGGAATGGCGTGGGGTATGGGCAGCAGGCCGGCATCCAGTCACTGAGATACATACAGATGGGCGTTGACCCTGGAGACTTTCAAAAGTCAACACTTGCACAGCTTTCTGGCTCTGTGAGAGCAGGTGGGCTTTGTGCAGCACTAGCTGGGAGATGGCAATGCCCACTGTGACCCTGGGCACCTGGGGGGTATGAGCTGCTTGCCTTCTGGATGTGTCTCCTTTGTCCATCCCACATCATGCCTTGGGGAGTAGGAGTATTGGCCAATTTCTGCACCATCTTTCAAGTCCTACTGTACTTCTAGGGCCCAGCAGCCTGTAGCAAGAGCACCAACACCTAGGAGATGTGTCCTAGTGGCCGTTGCTCAACTCAGTGAAGAGACTGTTCCTTCAGAGATTCAAAAAGCCCCATGTCTAGCTTAACTATGTAGGGCTTGCTTGCATGAGGGCTGGAGTGGGGAGAAGTAGGGGAGTGGGGACAGGGCCTTGACAGAACCTGCTGATCCCTTCCAGGCATGGGACTGGTTCTCTCCTGCTTTAATAAGAAAAGAGGAGGGAATGTTGGGTATAAGGATAGTCAGGGGAAGAATAAACCTCCATCAACCCTCTAAACACTCTGAGGGTGTTAGGGCTCAGCATTCAAATCCAACACACAGGAAATATTGAGGCTTTAAAAGCAAGCAATGAAATGAACAGCAAATTAGATTCTTACTCATCACATAACAAACGTGTTGTACAATTGTTTTGTTAAGCGGTGCATCAAAATTCAGTTTGGCAAGCGCCTGTGCTGTGGGCCCTGATTTCAGGTGCCTGCCTCCATCAGCGCTGTCTAACCATGCCAACTGAGCTGGATTCTTCTCGTCTCTGTTCCATAGCAGTGGAGGGGGCAGTCCATTGGTTCTGTCACTCTGTGTTACCCCTAGCTTGTCTCCTGTCTCATTAGATGGGGTTCTCGGGGACAGGGATTGACCCTAGATCCTCAGGCTCACACTTACTACTTGAAAGCAGAGTGGGAATCAGAGAGGCTAGCAGGAATCTGTGTGTTCCTCTTCAGCTTTCTCTTGCAAGCTCTACTCTCATTCTTACACCTGTTACTCAAAACCCCCTTGTGATGGTTTACTGCCGCCTCAAAATCAGTTTTCAAAGTCTCTCTCAAGTTTTCTTTTTCTGTTTCTGAATTCTGTGGCCCTGAGCCTCTCTCATTCCCTCTTCCCACTGCTTCTCCCTCCTCTTTCCTCTATTGGTTGGCTCTCCCACAGTCCTCTTTCTCTACTCTGCAGCCCTCATTTCTTCTTGCCTGGCCTGTCATCAAAGCCTCTATCACTGATTTTCCTTCTTTCGGTCTCTAGTCCTCCTAAATGTTTGCTGCTGAAGTTGGTTAAACTAAAACATATCCAAGTGACTGCTGTGTTGCAGGCACTTAGGTGCTAGCCCTGCATTGGAGGAGGTGGTAGCAGATCAGTGCCCTAAGCCAGCCTCTTCCGGAACCAGTTTCTTCTGTCCTGTTGGACTGATCACTTTGAACTAACTCATTTCTTATACAGGCAGTGTGGGGAAGGAGGTTTAATACTGATTGATTGACATTCAAGAACTTGTATGTTCTTGCTCATTCATCCATCGTTCCCAGGCATGTCCTGTTGCTCCCTTTCATGCATACTGTACATTCCAGCCCAACTGGTACATACCCCATCATTTCTTCCCTCTTCCTCTGTCACCACATGGCTTCCTCCTGGTCTGCCCTCCCCTTCACATCCTCCGTGTCCTCACATCCAAATCTTGTCCTTATTTGTGATTCAGCTCAAATGACATCTCTTCAAGGAAGCCTTCCCTGCTCTTATCTGGTAAACATTTGAGTTCCTGCAGTGCATCTACCACTGCAAGGGAGATGGTTTACTATCTCTCCCTCCCCCCAGCACCCTGAAGTATTCCCCTGATTTAATTGCTTCTTGCAGTGCAGTATGTACCATTTTGCTTCCTTGCATCCCATGTTTTCTTCTTGAGGATAGGTCGGTCTATGTCAAATTCTTCATAGCCTCCTTTCTGCCTGGTACAGAGTTTAGCTCATAGTAGACTCTGAAGAGGCACTGGCTGCATAATGGAGCATCTGTTGCATGCCTTGCCCTGAGCTAGGCCCTTTCCGTGCTTTGTCTCACTTAATCCTTACCACAGCTCTTTGCTGTAGTGCTGTTGTTATCCATATCTTCCAGAGGAGGAAACTGAGACTCAGAGAAATTAAGCAACTTGCCCAGGGTCACACAGCTAATAAGTGGCAGAGTTGGGTTCTGTGTCCCGGTCTTTCTTCCTGTTAGCCTCTACTTTATGTGACCTGAGTGAATGGGATGGATACAACTCTCAAAATAGGACATATAAAAGCCATTGGAGGATATAAACTTCTGAAGATGCCACCAATTTAGAAAGGACATTTTATTTTTAAAATCACTCTGAGGGCTGGCCCATGGCTCACTTGGGAGAGTGTGGTGCTGATAGCACCAAGGCCACAGGTTCGGATCCCTATATAGGAATGGGCTGTTAGCTCACTTTGGAGAGCCTGGTGCTGACAACACCAAGTCAAGGGTTGAGATCCCCTTACCGGTCATCTTTTAAAAAATAAATAAATAAATAAAATAATAAAATAAAATAATCACTATGTTCAGTGGATTTTAGTCATGCCTTTACCAAGAATAGCTCAACCAGGGCACCATCAAGATCAGGGAAGGGCAGCCAGGGAGATCACTGGTGTTCCCAGACCCCCTCCTAACAATGCTTTCCCAGGAACTGGCATTTCAAGGTCCCACATCTTAGTAGATGAGACCGTGAAGTGTTGGAGAAAAACAGCAAAATTGCCTCTTTGTCCCTGCATATCTTCTTTAACCCCCAAATCCTTAAGGAGTAATGATATCAGGTACTGTCCTGAGTCCTCTGGGGCCACAGAGATGAATCAGTCCCATTCAAAGGCCTCTGCTCCAGTAGAAGGGGTGAAACCTATAAATAAATAATCTTAACATTCAGAAAAAGAGTTAATGTGATTCTGAGAGACACAGGCTTTCACTGTTGAAGTTGGGAGGAGGGAGAAACCCTTACAGCTCCAGGTTGCAAAAGAGCTCATGAGACTTGGCTTCCTTAGTTAACACCCCCAGCTTCTGACTTGGTTTGTAGGGATTTGCTTCTAAGCTTGGGTCTTTTGACACCCCAACTACTCTGCCAGGAGTATAGCTGAGGGCCATGGTTTTAGCCTGTGAAGGGTGCGATTAGAGCCTTTGCGGCCAAAGCAGCCTCTCTTTAAAAGAGTGAGCAAAGCTGGGAGCTGGCAGATGTCTCCCTGTGTTGAACTGCTGGGGCATCTCAGACTGTGGACTGGGAAGGTGAATAAGCAGACACTAAGGGATCCTTTGCACCTTGCACTTTATGTAACATAGTCATTTAGTTCTTGCTTCAAACCTATTTTGCAGCTAAGGAAACAGACATTTGAAACAGCTATAATTTGCCCAAGGATGCATAGCCAAGAGGCAGCTGTTCACTGTAATCTGATGTTGGGTGTGGAAAATCAATTAGAGCACTAGTGGAGCCACACTGTCGGGGACAAGAAAGGACTGGTCTGAGCTTCAGGGTGGAATCCTTAGGAAATATTTGCATGTTCTTGTGGTGGGCTTGCCCTGTGTACAGACTCCAAAGAACTACAGAGACCATGTTTTTCAGCGGTGAGGTGAGTGCCATGGAGGTCATTTGGGTGGATGCTGTACAGCAGATG